CAAAAAATACACTCCAGACACGCCGCTGGCACTAGAGGCACAGCATGGCCGCGTAGTGTATATATATATCGTCACAAACAGAACTGCCCGGTAAAACCGTAGGCAGAGAGAGAGAAGAGGACAACAAATGAGGGGCTGTGACAAACTGTTTCGTCGGAGTTTCACCGACTCATATATATCGTCAAATAGAACTGCCCGGTAAACCGTAGGCAGAGAGGGAGAAGAGGACAACAAACGAGGGGCTGTGACAAACTGTTATATATATATTCTGTTTGTGTCGATATATATATATATATCGTCATATTTATATATTCTATTTGACGATATATATATATTTTTTTTCATAGTATATACTATATATGGAAAGTTCGTGAAGAACATGACATGACATTGATTACCCTCTGGTGGGAAGGGGGAGGAGGGGGGGAAGTGTTTACGTGTAGAGTAGGCTCAAGAGTCCTCAAAGTTGTATACCATTGATCCACCCCTTTTGCGTCGTTGAATAACATCCCACACTTCTTGCACTGTTGACTAATGTCCAACAACCGACGGAAGATCGAAAAGAGCCTGCGAATGAGGGCCTTTTCAGGAAATAGAAAACACTTCTTTCTTCTCTCATCTATGATCTATCTCATTTTTCTTGCTAGTACTCATCTATCTCATCCTCTCACTAGTGTGTGTGTAGTACGGGGGAACACCAACCAACCCGGATCACTTCTACTTTACTACAATTACACAAAAGGGATCATTTTCAGGAAATGGAAAACAGTTCACACTTCAAAACACTTTAAAAAAAAAAAAAAAAATCTCGACGTACGTACGTACGCATAGGCATACAAGTACATGTCCACACCAGGCCTTACGTGCTATGAAACGGCAGCACTTCCTCCCCTTATGAAAAACACCACTTCACAGATCAGTTGTCATGTCCACCAACTAAAGGGCACGCTGTCGCGGAGGAAAAGCAAAACCCCTGTCAGAATCCGAAAAGCGACGCAGACTGCCGTTTTTTTTTATCGACCGTGCGCCTGCGCCGTCTTTTCCGTATGGCATCTTGTACGCGACCAGTTTCTTTTCAGCGAGGCTGGGGCCATGTACTTCCGTCTTCAGCCGAATAGAGCACCCCGTTATTATATCTGTATCTGGACTGAAAAGTGCACCAAATATGGCTATAATGACTGGGCGTTCTATTCCGGTGAAGTCGGTAGCGGTTTAATGTATTCGCAATGATTTCACATTGTCAACCTGTCAAAGCTAAGTCGCCTGCCCAGGGTTCCTCCTGCTTGGGGGGGGGGGGGGGGGGGGGGGGGGGGGGGGGGGAGGACAGGGGGGAGGGGGGGGGAAGACTTCGCAATTTCTTGTTTCACTTTCCTCCTCCATTTTTGTTTTTTTTTGTTTTTTTTAAGCTCCAGTCTATTCGTGGGGAGCTTCACCTGCTGGAAAACGCGTCCAGCGTGGCCCATTACGGGTCCAGCGTGTCCGATTATGGGTCACGCGTGTCCCCATTTAGATACACAGTTGAGATGATAAACAGCAAGTGCTGCTACACTCAGATAAACAATCCTTGATCGGCTTGCGTGTCCAATGTTCACTCTTCCCACGTTTCCCATTTTCACTATTTTACCTTGCGAGGTTGCTGTTGCAAGGAATATGAGCGAGAGCGATAGACAGAAATCCAAATTACAAAATCACGCTGTAGTCCAGATAGTTATATACCAAGCAGAGAGCACAATGCAAGTGCCGCAAAAAAGGATGTCATAGCTCCCACAAAAGTCATCACAATTAATGCCTTGGGTGCGTATTCAAATAAGGGAGAACACCTGGCCACACCAACATAGTATCCAATGTCGCTCCTTCTGATTGGCGCCCAGCGCCCAGGGCCCAGCCTACACTACTCAGCTCATCTAGCCTATCTACATTCATGCAACAGGTTCCCATCGAACTCCAAGACCAATGTACATGACGTCATTGCCAATGCAGACTGCCAGCATACACCAGGGACGTGTCTCACTCCTCCCCTCATCATCCCTGACTCCCCTCTGCATACGCCTCCTACCCAAAGGCCACCATGCGCCCAGGAGCCCGGCTATGGCCGCCGTATGCCCGCTGCCACCGCAGCGCCCCCTCTCACCTCCAGCGCCCGTGCGCGCCCTGGCCAGCAGAGCTAGCGCAGCTGCTCGTGCGTCAATGGCTGCATTGCCTGCACAGGCCAGAATGCCTCTGGCTGGCGAGCTCACTTTCCTTTATGGAAAGTGAGCCTGCTTGTCGTGCCCTGGGCCTGGCTGGGCAGGTTTCCAGTCGCTTCCAGTCGGGACCCAGTATCTGCGGCCAGGCCCAGTTTCAGATACTGGCCTGGGCCTCGTGCAGTTAGGCACATCCAGGTAGCCCACGAGTCTCCCGAGTGTTCGGCGCAATCCCATTGGCTCGTGGCATGCATGCGACGAAGGAGCTGCTTTCTCATTGGTCCGTGACCGCTGCGTGACTTGTCGGCCTCTGAATGCATGCATGTGCCCAGTGCCCCAACCGATTGAGCCCTGTGCTCAACTGTCCAACGCAGCTGCTGCTTCTGGAAGGAGCCAGGGAAGGCTAACGTTGCTCTGTAACCAACTGTTGTGCTGCAACTGTCTGATACCCCACATACGAAAATGGCCAAAAATAGGCCTCAAGCAAATATGCAGGCCAGGCCCGCCTTCATTTAGGGCAGGCACGAGGCTTGCTGGCTGGGGCCTGATCCCAGAACGTCTGCGTGCCCGAGAAGGACCATCCGAGGGCTCAGTCCTCACACTGTCCATCAGATGCGTAACCAGTTGGTTATAACAAAAAGCAACTCGCAAAATGCAAAGGTAGGCATGACACCAGCACAACGATGCAGTTGTGCACACACAACATTAAAAACAGAGAGGATCCCTCTCAGTGTTTACCGACCTGTTCACGATCATGGGGTGCGAAATAGTCGATATCCGCACCGCATGCGATGATGCCATGGGGGTTGATGGAAGGATGACTCATGAAATAGTGTTTCTTAATATGATACATGTCGACAGTCTTCGCCATCCCGGGTACTTGGTATATATCCTTTGTATAGTTGAAAAGATTTGGATACTCCCTGATCAGCTTCTTGTTCGTCTTGAAATGAACAACATACACCTGCGAACAGTGCAAAAAATATTATCAGCAAAATCTCACATATCTATCGGAGAATGACAAGATCAGAGAACCACTGCCGGCAAACACCGAGAGTGCCAATGCTAACTCCCTCATCGTCTCATTAAAAAAAATCATTAAAAAAAAAAAAAAAAAAAAAAAAAAAAAAAAAAAAAAAAAAAAAAAAAAAAAAAAAAAAACAGTTCAAGCAGAAAGTGGTTTTCCAGGACAAGGGATATTAGACTGCCGGTCATCGAACATCACAAAGGACAAACGATGGTATTCCATTCCAGAATAAGAAAGTTTTTGCCACTTTTTGGAACAAAAAAAGGGGACCAAATCAAACAAAGACAGGCAACTTAACATAAATGGTACATTATGGTAAGGTAGGGCATATTGCGAGGAGCCGAACTGAATTGAACACCACCCAAAAGTCACAGAACATTCACTCCGAGCATCGGAATGACAAGTCAGCACACACGAACATGAAATCCCCACCAAGCACTTTGATATTATACAAGGAATGAGTTTGAGCACAAGCAGTTAATGGCCACTATCGCCAGCAACAGCAAACAGATAATCTCTCTCTCTCTCTCTCTCTCTCTCTCTCTCTCTCTCTCTCTCTCTCTCTCTCTCTCTCTCTCTC